GAAGCAACGTCCTCCACAACTAGACTGAAGAACAAAAGGACAGCAACTTGTCTGTTCCCCTTCCCCCAATTCCCCAGCGCTGTTCCCATTCCTCAATTCCCCAATAAAAATCTTTTTAAAAAACCCCACAAAAAACAAAAAAACTTGAATTCAGTAACTTTATGTAATACATTTTTTTTCAAATTTCGGGCCCCAAAATTAAGGTGCGTCTTATACATGGGAGCGTCTTATACATGGGGAAATATGGTAATACAACCACAATGACTTTCAGATTCAAAGAAATGAAACCATAATGGTGGAATTTCAGGGTCTGTGATGATAGCATAGCATGGGCTTGGGAGGCAAACAGAACAGAATTAATGGAAAAATTACTTGCTGTTTATCAGTTTCCTTGTTTGTGAACTGAGGATAAAGGTAGTAACTTCCAAAATAGTATTATTGTGAAGATTCAATGAATTAATATATGTAAAGAACTTGACACCAAGTAAAGTCGAATTCCTTTATCAGCCATGTATCCCTTATCCACCTACCACTGTTACCATTTTTGTTGGTTATTTGGTCCAGGTTTATCTCCCCAAGTGAATGTAACCTTCATGAAAGCGGACACCCTGTTGGTTTTATATACCATTGAATCCCCAGCCCTTTGCACAATGCCTGGACCACAGAAGGTATTCAGTAAGTGTTTGTTGAGTGGCTCATTGTTATGCAGTGTGACAATGATGATGATGAGGAGGATGACTATGACTAGCTTTTGTATCTTGTGGGACAGGAGTGTCCACAAATATCACCTTAGCAGGGGCTGCTCAGAGCAGTGGGTCACCTTCCTCACCTTCACCTGCCCATAATGATAATAACCCTCCCCAGGTGTCCTAGAAGCCCTGGACACTGACCGCCTTTCTATGGTGGTTTTAGGTACTGACCTGCACAATATACTCAAAGATCAGAGCCACGCTCCCCAGGGTGGTGATGTTGGCCAGTGTTGAGAAGATGGACAGCACCTTGAGGTTCTGGATAAACACCAACAGGACCAGGAAGGGCAGGATGGTCAGCATGTAGAAGCGAATGTCCAGGATGGGGGTTAGTACCAGGCTCTTCCTGGGTTGGCAGGTGTTAGCGGTCACGTGGGTTTCTTCCACCATCTGATGTAGAGCGTAATGAAGGGCGGTACAGTTAGGGTTGCCCAGGTTAAACACAGGATGCCCCGTTAAGTTTCAGTTTCAGGTAATTAACAGATGACTGTTTAGGAAAAGTATGTCCCAAATATTACACAGGACACACCTATAGTAAAAAAAAAAAATGCTGCTTATCTGAAATTCCAATTTAACTGGATGTCATATATTTTTATTTGCCATATCTGGTAACCCTAACTGTAATGCCCATGGCTGTGACAACAAGAAACCCTTACAATCATGAAATCTTAAGGCCAGCTGTTGCTGCGGCTTCTCTAAGATCCTTTTAAAAAGTGATTCCAGGACTGAGGGAACTCTCAAGAATAGTCTGATCTGGGGGTAGAAATGAAGCCAGCTCTTCCCATGATCTGAACACCATATTTTTTCTAACGCATCCCTAGCAGCAGGAGGTCGGCTTTTCTCCTACCTTCCCCAGAAGAGGCCTCTTTACCTGTTGCAAATTGTCTGCCATAAACATAAAATAAACGCTGCAGAAGCCCAGTTGGGTGATGATTAATAAGAAGCTGACA